CACACACACACACACACACACACACACACACTGACAGGGTCGTTGCAATATGCGTTTTTGCTGCGTATTGCAGCGCTCTAGCGCTGCACGGCAAAAACGCATAAAAACTAATGTTTATTAAAAACCATTATAAAATTTGTCTGAAATATAAGAAACTAATATAAGAAGGTAATACAAAAAGAAACTGAAATTTATATATGAAGTTATACATTATATAAAAGGAACTAATATCTTCAAGCTTCTTTCAGACCAGGATATAAAATGTATGCAGACCAAGATTAATTAGAAGCATGCAATTTAAGACAAATTGAAGAACCTGGCATAGCTGCGCTCAGCATGTGAGAGCATCCCAGTAACAGTACCAATATCGGACAAAAAAAGGACTTTGGGGCAGTAATTTTGGTAGTTTTTGCAACTTCACAAAATTAGCACATATATAAGGTTAAGATATCACGGAAAGAGGGAAAAGTATTTTTTCTAAACGTAAATCAACGAGATGATGCGAAACGCGGAATACCATTCTGACAGGAGAAAGGAAACTAGCGACGATGCAACAAACAAAGGAGCGATCAGTGTTGATTCATAAGCGTATTCGCAACGATATTTTGCGATTACGTACTCCCTGTCATGTAAAATTTGTCCCCCAAAATGAACCTTTTCTGAGGAACCTGTTCACATACAGACCTCGGGTCATTGAGTACTTTCTGAAGCGCATCTGTCACAGTTTCCACGTTGATATGCTTTTTGTTCAGATAAATTCCAATATTTTTTCTCAGCGCAATGGCTGTATTGTAATGCTGGTCAGCGAATATCGGTATGCAAATAACCGGTGTCCCAGCAAATGCTGCTTCACTGAGACTATTCATGCCGGCATGCGTTATGAATGCTTTCGTTTTCGGATGATCTGAAGCAGTTTTTTAATGTTGAAAGAACTGGCAGAGTAGGTGCGCTGCTGATTCTAATCAGTGACAGTGCTATCAGCGGTCTTGAAAGGGACATTTCTAAAATATATGGCAGTTTTTTTTGTTTTTTTTAAATAGTGCAGTGGAGTAGCACTATTGTCGTGTAGTAGTTTGAAGTTTCGACTGCACCGGTGGGACAACCAATCCCTCTATGATTCTCTTCGATGGTAAATCGATACTGGCATATGTCAGGGAGTCAAACTCGCCATCAGCTTGCTTGTAAGCAACCCTTAGAAGACGGAGCCATCAACAGCCTTGCCAGCTTGTAGTTGCTGCTGTTTGCTTTTGCTACCACACGGACTATTTCTCGAGTATCTCCACCTCTCACTGAAAGCGAAATACGGAAACGGTTTTGACTTCGACTTTGTGTCTTCTTCATACATTTTGAAAAATGAAGACCTGCGGAACTCAAAATTTCCTCAATAATATACTAACTTTGTGGGCGAAAATATACAGAGCTCGAAGTCTCCTCTCAATAGCTTTCTCAAACTGAGAGAAAAAGTTTTTTCGAATTTCTCAGAGTTGCCAATACCACTCTATAGTTTCGTATACCATCACATCAAATAGCTCACACTTTATGATAATGATGAATCAGGGCAACACAAGCGAAGAAACCGAGGTAGCTCAGCTTCTCCTCTCTCAAAGACTCAATCACATGCGATAAAGCCTAATTGCTGTATCAGATTTTTAAACTTACGGAGAAGATTGACCTGATCAATCCAATCGAAGAAATGCACATTGGGATAAGATGAAGCGAATTTTTCCCGTTCTTCATCGCTTACTGCTAATTTGACAATAAAATCGTAGTCCGAAAAGCGAGAAAATGCCAACAGCACATCGGTTTTCATTTGCTCTGGCATTTTAACCGCGTCAACAAGCGATCCAAGTGAAAACACCACCACGCCTTTGCGCGCATTCTCATACAAATCCGCAAATGGCTGCAGAAATATTAAATTTGTTAGAGATAAGTGAATAATCTACGCAAATTAATGGACCGAAATACACTTCTACAGGTCTAATTTGTGCTTTTCTTACGCATTATGACACCGCTTACTTTCTATGTGCCCTATGGATAAGAACTGTGTTTTTACCTTTTCCATTACTGATACTTGCTTCTTAGTAATACCTCCAACGAAAACAACTTTACTGGAAATAGGCCGTGCGATATCGATATTCGGTAAGGTATTAACGAATGCAACAGCTGCTCGTTGTGCCAGATCTCTCAGATCCGGGAAGTCCTCACTTACCATACGCCTGAAGAGTGCGTTCTGAAAAAGTTTTTTTGCTGATGGCCAGCAGCATTTTCCTATGTTTTGCAAATTCGGAATTATTTTTACATAAGTCTCTTCATGCTAGGAGTACCACGTCAGGGTCGGTGAGGTCCTTATCGAGTTATGTCCCTTGGGACTGTTACTTCCAATGTTAACAAACGTCTAGCGCGACTTTGCTAAGCCTCATTTTGTTCCATTATTATTTATATTCTCTTGTAGCTGCTAACGCTAGTATCATATTTTTGGAGGTTATCTAGAAAATGATTTCCTTCTCCTAAATCTGATTTGATGATCCGTGACGATTCGCTGGCACGCTGTTTTTTTGCTTAATAAATTTTATTTGCAAATCTGGGAAATGTTTTTGGTCCGTACTAACTGATTTTCAAAAGTACACAGGAAAACTTGTTTGAGCTGCGGTTCATACAGTGGCTCTTCACTATATGGCTGGCAATCTTCCTATTTTGCTCTGATCAGTGCTGCATAAAGCGAGGGTCAGTGTGCTGGCGATCCTGACGTTCGTTTTGTCTTCTGGAAAGATAATTTACTGTCTTAATTTTGACTCTCCTGATCGAAGCCTTTTGACTGTTACGATATGTCAAGAACACCAAAACCGCCCAAGCAATCAATATGAGCAACCATCGCTTGAGATGCACGTTAGGAGCAGCTATGCCACTCCCTCCGACTGCGAACTGCATACCGCCAGGCGATATTCACCGCTTGTTCGATGTATGTGCGCAACTTCTTCGACACCTGGTTGTTTACTTTTTAGCGGGCACGGCGTACACCAGTTGTCAGTAAAGCTAGCAAATTATAGTGTTATAATAGCTAGCAAATTATATTTTTATATCATATTTTTGTAAAAGTGATTAAAAGTGATAGTAGAAATGTACCTGTGAATCATACATTTTTCTGTGAAATTCATAGCGCGTAAAGATGCTGATGATCAAATTGTACATACGCTGAGAGAATGATAGCTGCGGAGTGTTAACAAATGAAAAAAATAATGCTGCAATTTTAATTTACATCCTTATGACTAATCGTCAGCAGGCTGACCAGTAAGCTGACCATTGCAATAGTCAGAAAAACTGGAAAAACTGTTTGCTGTACGGTGGGAAAATTAGGCTATGAATTACACTTCACCAAAGTATCATAGCGACTAATTCTGGGGAAAAGGATCGTTTAGGAAAAAAGGATACTGGAGTGCTAAAAGGATAAGATAGTCAGCATAGCTAAAACGAATGAATTCAGGTTTCTCCTCCATTTATTACAAACAATGAATCCTGGTCTCAACAGTGACAAAATAGTGAGGTTTTTGTGTTTATCACACCAACAGTGAGGTGTACGTGTTTATTTTTTTTAAATGCGAGGCAAGTAGTTCCAACGGTAGCAAGTACCAGGTGCAACCACGCGCTGGGGAAGCTGTCGATGGTCCTCTCTTTCGAAGGTTGCTCAGAAACAAGCTGATTGAGGGTTTGACTCTCTGGATAACTGAGCGGTGAAAGAATGGTTATCCCAAAAAAGGTCGAAACTCTCGATCTTCAGTACACCGCATAATAACGAAAACATACCCGTTACGTAACTTCTCGGAGATGGGAGGCCCCATACTTCAGCAAGTAGATCGGTAACTGTAGTGGCAGACAGAAGTGCCGTTGATTTGATTCCAATTACTTCGAATAATCCATAAGAACAAAATTCGTACATTTCGGTGAGTCCTAAATCGTAATTATCCGTTCGCAGTTCATCGATTAGGGGCTCGTTTAATAAAAATTCTGAAAAAAAAAATTAATTGTAAAGCTTTAAATGGCTGTAGCATTGTTCTGATTCTTGCAAATACACATACATACACATGCGCATATACGAGAACACTCACCCACACACAACACGCACAAACAGACATACACACACAAACATATACTTAAATTCAGAGACTCAAACACTTAAAGAAACACACACACATATGTACAACAAAGGCTGGAACGCACCAGGCGAGCCGGTGCGATCATGCGTTTTTGCATCATAACTAAAGTAAAAGTATTGCCCGAGCGC